GTGTCCGTGTTGTGATCCGTGCCGTTGCACAGTCATACGAAATCCGCTCTAAAACGTCTTACAAAAAGTCTGAGGATCACAAAGCTAACCGAAACGCTAAAATGACATTAAAAAAGAAATTTCAGGAGAAAGTTAAACTAAATAAATTAAGAAGAAGTGAAGGATATAAAGTTGGCAAACTTTCAATTCAGTCTATTAATTTTTTGCAGGTTCTTATGAATGACTTGCTGTGAGTGGCATAAAACCATTATTTCTGAAAAGGACACGATATTGAATATATGTTAGTATGAGATATCGATCAACACTTCAAGCAGCAGCCAGCATGAAAACAATAAATGCACTTGGTCTGAGATAAGACCGTTCATGAAAAATTGATACAATAAAACTGACGTTTTTTGGCTATAGTAACTTAATCATAATTATTAATTCAAATTGAGGATTAACCAGTGACAAATTTTTGTTGTCATCAGTATAGATATTGCTRCATATTCTCATTGAAAACAAGCGTCATGTTTTAATAAAGTTTTAAATAATTAATTATTTTGGCGTGTAGTATATATATACATGAATTATGCGTACATCATGCCAAAATCTTTGTAAAAAAATAATATATTAATCAAGGGTGAGTCAGTGCACGCAGGATTTATAACAAAACAACAAGTTATCTTTCGGCCTTTCGAATTTTTTTTCGCGAGTTTTTTGAAATAATTAACTTATCAAGTGGATAAAGTTATCTACTCTTACTTTTGTATAAATTTCTAATTTCTAATGATAAGGCCTATTCATTATCGGGAACATAAGACTAGTCAACTTTCGGACTTGAACCTGCCGCAGATAAATAGGCGAGCAGTCTTTTGTAAAGACACTTCTCAAGTGAAAAGTTCATGTATATTTTTTAGATTGCAAAATTAACAACAACAAAAAGAAAACAAACAAATAACAAAAAGGAGCAAACAAAAACCAAAACTTTGAGTAAAATATTATACGACTATTTGCAGTTGAGAGACAAAATTTTACCTTCACGTATACCAATTGAGCGCAGTTGAAGCGACACAAATTGTTAGGGCGGTTTGCAGTCCTCCTCTATCAAACTCTAATAAAATGTGAATGTCATTTGAATATGTATGATCTATTCCGAAATTAATAATGTAGTAGTGTAGGAAAACACTCGAGAGAAACRCACTGCTCATGCGTAAGTGTAAAGAAAAAAATAGCAGTTAATCGTGAAGTATTCATACAAATGAAAGTAAAATATATTTCTTCTTATATAAAAAAACTTGTTCGTATATGCTTTATTAGGGTTTTGGAAATAGGAATATCGTTTGCCAAACCTACTTTTGTTAAGAAGAAGTTGTGTAAAAAGATAAATTTAACTCCGTAAAAATATTGACGTTTCGGGCCTTAATCCTTTATCGGAGTAAGAGATGAAACTAGGCTAAGTGGGAGTTTATATAATGAAAATGAGTTTACATGGTGAGTACATTCAAAGTGATCAGTGATTCTGAGTGATGAGTTGGGAAACACCGACGCAGATCACTCTTAACTTTTGCGATTTTGTGCAATACTCAAAATATCGGCATCAAAGATTTTAGGCTGCCCCAAGTTACCGTATGTCTTCCGAGAGTGCACAGTGTTTTTCTCACAAGTGTCATGACCCCATATTAACTGCACAAATTCGTGTAACTGCCGAGATTGAAGCCTTCGGTATCAATTCGGAGTCTGTCGTGAGTTGTCTACAACTAATTTGCACGAATACATGGTAACGTAGCTGTTGAAAGCAATTATTGATAACTATATAGCAAAGAGCTAGCCATGCACTGGATTGAGTTATTAGCGCGGGCTTTTTTCCATAAAGCCTTTATTTGATGAGGTTTCTGACTAACTGATTCTAAAAATTATAACACGGTACTTTATAAAAATCAAATTTACATAAATACGTCATAGATTGCAGAAAAAGACTGAATGTGCAAAGGAAATTATTTACACTAGCGAATGCATGATAGAGTGATTTTCATCGGACTGTGAAATAGCTTCCAGGCGCGTAGCGTCCTTTACGCATTTTACGATTTTCAGGGTTTTTTGTATATAATTGAACTTCAAAACGCTGGAAATTATATTTACAAGAGTTATTATTTCAAATTTTCCTTGGGAGGACCCCCAGACCTCCCTTAATACTCCTGCCTTCGGCGGTCGCTAGCCCCTCCAATCCATAATATGTGTCGCGCTCCATAACATGCGCGTACTAGACAAAGTCCACGCTACGCACCTCTTTCATACGCTAGTAGACTCTACGTCCATTGCTTTCTTGTATTGGAATACAACTATTAGATACTATAAACACTGACTTATAGTAATAGTTTCGCAGTGCGATGAAAACCACTCTATTAACCTAATACCACACACAGTAGTTCACAAATTACTTCTTATTCTTCTTGTTCTCTTCCGTACACCTGAAGATCGATCACAGGGAGCCCAAGCAATGACTTTGAAACCTATAATAGTTTAAAAAGAAAATTTTACTTAAAACAATAGTCTGCTTTTATTTTTTACAGTGTCACAATGCATTATAAATGGGTTTAAAAAAATTTCCCCTCCCTGAATATATATAGTGATAAGGGAGGAGACTCCGCTCAAAATTCTCCTAAAAATGAGCCAAAAACGATCCAAAACAATCTTTTTTCGCGCCGAAATTAAATCAAAACGAACTTTTATCTGAGACAGCATATGTAAATCAACGTTTTTTACCTTATTTTGGACGAGAGGCATCGATAGAAACGCTTTTTCGGGCAAAAAAAAAAAAAAATTAAAAAGGGCCCCCCAAAATAGCCCAAAGAGACCCCAATAGCTCTGAGACACTAGCGCGCGCAAAACTGAATATAAGACAAATTTGGATACTATGAAGGGGAGGGGGGGGAGGAGGGGGGTGACACTCGGAACAGTTTCACCTGTCACACAACTAACCGCTCCTCTCATATATATGGTGAAAATGTGAAAATGGTATGTTTTTTTTATTTGTTTGCTTTGGTTTGATACAAATATGAACAGTGGTTAACATCTCTAAGCTATCGAGTCTCGGAACCTTACAATCTGTCGCCGTTTTCGCACAGTGTAAACTCCGATCGACGATCTCATCTGACTCTTTATCTCAAGTTTTTGACAAAAATAGCATAACTAGTTAATAGGGTTTTTCCGTAAAGTTAACACTCAATGATCTCAATAGACCTGACATTTAATATCAAGTTTTTTTGACAAAAATAGCATAGTTGAATAAACTATGAAATAGTTAAGCTTTTGAAAAAAGCAGTTTTTTGCAGTGTTCAGTCGATGAATATCAACAGATCATACCGTATGATTTCGAAAAACAAGTCCATGTTATAATTTTGAACGTTTTCGTTTCTGAAATCTCCGAATACTATAGTAATCTGAAGTATGCAGTTATCTGTAAGAAAATCAAAAGAACCCGATTAATGAGAGTTGCGATGTGCTCCGTGACAGGTGAAACTGTCCCGAATGCCCCGCCCCCCCAAATTTTATTTTTAACTATTATAGGTTTCAAAGTCATTTCTTGGGCTCCCTGTGATCGATACGAACTCGTAGCAAGGAAGAGAAACAGTCAAAAAAACTGAAACGCGAATCAATCCTTTGACCACAGAAATTATACACCAGTATTTTAACTCCTTAGCTATATGATGCTTGCTGCTATGAAATGAACTAAAATCTGTCACCTGTGCTGCGATTGGCCGTAAGAAACCAACGAGCAATAGTTACAACTGAAGCAGCACGCGCAGTAATATATCATGGGTCGAGCCCACAATTCTAGGCTGGGCCCATTTAGAACACGCGAACCAGGTAACTCTGGAGATTACACAAAWCMATATATTTCCTTTAAGCTGACATGTACAGATTTGGTTGCAAACAGGGCAATGTTCGTGGGTTTGTGATTTTAAAAGTGCATGCTKCTTAGAGTTTTTAAAAATGTAATATCGGTTATTTCAGTGGCATGTAAAGTAATTTAAAAAGGGTACCCCCTAAAGTCTCGACGGATTGCATTAAGYCTGAGGCGATATACACCTTATTTTGCACAACCATTACGAGCATTTACATGTAGCACSTCAATATCCCCGTCTACTCTGGCAAGAAAGTCTGACCACATGATGACATTTCCTTCTCCAACGGAGCATGCTCGAGATAAGTCAGCTACCTCTTGTGCCGTGAGGACCCTGTCCCAAAGGTTCACGTTGGTCAAGTTGCCCTGGTAGCTTTGTGATAGATCAAAGCCTCCCTTGACAACAGTGTCTTGATCCTGCCCAAGTATAATAGCACCCTTTCCAGAAATAACCCTGCCTGGGTTCTTGATCCCTTTAGATTTCTCTGCGCCATCGATGAATATTTTCCACTCACCTCGATTGTTCTCCCATGTCAAACAAAAATGATGCCAGTCACCATCGACAGGATACACCGCCTCCCTGTACAATAAAAATATCATGAGCGATGAGCGGCTGTAACACCTCTGTACGTCGTTCCCCGAATGCTWCGCGATTATCAGCGCTTTTAACAACAAAAAATATTGTCACTATACTCTGCTAACAAGGATAATTTATAGGACGGTTAATTATATAGTTAGCCCACTGATTGGTAGTACTATAAATGGTTTTTCTATTGATTGCCTATCTATGAGATTATGAAATGAAAAACTGATTTTTCAATATTGTTTTACATTGTTTGTGCATTTTGAAGAAATAGACAAAAGAATTATTTTCCCTCTGTTCATTCAGATGTGACCAGTATGGCTAAAACAATAGTAAAAAAARATTGTGGCACACGGTCACACACAAAAAATGCACAAAAACGCACAAAAGGCATCCAAACCATTTTCCTCTACAAACTATGTTATGCCATGCGGTCAACAAATTTATTTCTCAGAGGATAGACTGATCATTGGCTGATGATGATTGGCTGAATGGCTGCATCTGTCGTGCATATACACTGGAAAAATCGAGAAGTTTAAGGATTGTAAATTTGATGTAAATATGATGTAAGTGTCCAAAATGATTAACATCAACTTAACATCTTGGACACCTACATCATATATTTACGCCAAACTTACAACCTTTTAATGTGCGCGTTTTTTTCCAGTGATAGAATGCACTTGTCCGACTTTTAGCTGACCCATGGATGTAATGCAGTGGTCAAAAGAGTCTGCTATTAGCTTACCCGGACGGAGATCTCCATACAGTTTGATACACATGTAAAAATGTGGTCGACGAATCCTTAGTCAGGAGTTCTACATATATTTCGTTAGTACTATCAGAGGTGGCATAGCTGAAGAGCGCTTGTTGATATTTTGTGACTGCCTGGTTCCATGAACATACTGTAAAGGCTGTCAAATTTYCSAACCAGTTCTCCAGAACAACTTTAKYTTTTAAACTTGCTTGAGGAAATATCATAATGATTTGCTCTCTGGCATCTGTTGAATTRAATTGGAAAATAATATCCACCCGGCTGCCTTTGCTGTTTGAATTGTATTGTGACACACACAGTATTTCATACCTGGAATCTTGAAGTACACAGAGTCTTCGTTGATGACTGTCATTTGAGGCGTGTTCTCGATTGTTCTGCTATTTAGTTCACAAAGGGACTTGTCTCTGTAATAGTTTATACTCCTGCAGCCTGGCTTTGCGGCACAAGTCCTGTAGCAGCTATCGATATCACCGATAGTCAAAGTCGACATGACATGGTTTGCAAGTTGTACTCCCCAKACCGAGGTTTGACAATCAGCTTCAGCCATTTGGAAACTAAATGCCCAAATCATTCCGGCAGTARAACTTATTAAAATCGCCSAAACTCTGGACTTGCACATTTTAGGTTTATCAGTTAAATTTGTAGATGGCGTGAAGCTCTACCTTGTCTGGTCAGTGATATAGTGTATAATAATACACTATATGTGTCATGTTACCAACCTTTAAGAGAAATATTCCTTTCATAATCTTTGCATGGGCAACTCTTAATCTGTCAAATCCAGACATGTGGCATAAAACTACATATTAAGGTTACTGAAATCTTTAATTATCAAGTGAGGCAAATCCGTAACTGAAAACGAAAAACGATTTGTAAAGTTTCAAATCCAACTTTAACAGTTTTTGATTAGGCCGATAAGTAAACGCAGACAGTAATCT